TATATATACATATATGTATATATATATATGCTTTTATTCTGTTATCTGTTTAAGGTGTGTTTGGATGGTGGGGGTGGAAGGAGACAGAAGAATGGGGGAAAATATAATTTTAAATTCCATTACCACCAAACAAAAACACACAAGTGTGGGAAAATAATGCTTCCATTTTTTTCAACTACCAAACAATTTGATCATCATTTTGAGGAAATAAAATATAAAAAGAATAAAAATAAATCAAATTCGGTTTATTCAATGCCACACCCAAAAACTCAAGATTAAAATTATCGTAAATTACAACGACCCCATGAGGTAAAGTCTATTTACGAAAAAAAAGGATCTCGATGTAAAAAATCTACAAATTATAGGGCATGGATGTAAATATAGAAAAATAAGGGATTTGTTTGTAAATATATAATACCTCATGGAGGGATTGTAATTTACTCTAGAAAATAATGTAGCCGGCACGGCACCCTTTTCTTAAAGATCCCTCAATCTATGTTCAATTAAATAATGTGCCAACAAAAAAATATTTAAAATTTGAAGTTATGTGGTGGGAGCAAATCCCAATTTAAATTTTAAATAGCCCACACAATAATACAAAGATAAGTTGTACAAAATTGACTCCCGCCGGCAAATTGCACAACTAATTAGATAAACAAATAGCTGAAACCAAGGTTTAATTAATGCACCACTAATTATAATACACTAAAATTTGATGTTCTCTACAATTTGACTAATACCAAGGTCCACACCATGTTTAAATGACAATGGTAATAGTAGTAACTAATAATATATTCAATATCATCTGCTACATTTTAAAAAAAAAATTTAAAAAAAAATAATAATAATAATAATAATAAGAGTCAACCATCATTAAATTCCAAAGAATATTGTCCTAATTTTGTCATTGACATGCAAATTGAAGGTCATTTTACTTATTAATTAAAAAAAAATTAAAAATTAAAAAATCGTCGAAAAAAAAATAATAGATATCGCCTATGGCTATATGGTACAGAGCGAAGTGAGATATATAGAGGCCTTAAGGAATACCGGTAGATCAAGCGTAATCGGGCATTAGCTTTTTAAGGAACGTGATTGGCTGGGAGTCTTCAGGGGCAATTTCGTCAAAAGCGATGTAGTTTTTCTCCTTGTTGTAAACATGGCAGACGGTTAGTATCGTCTTCATCAAACGCCAGTTCCATGTAGCCTCGTTCATGTACTATAAACGAAGCATTTCAAAATATAGACCATCATAATTATATTGATATAAATAGTTAATTCGGATTCTTTTTCATTTTCCGAGGAATTTAAAAAATAAAAATATATAAAAGGCGGGTTACCTTTCCCCAGTTTTCTTGGAGAGATTGATGAGCTGCGCGCAAGTTATAGCTCGGTATTCTGGGAGATATATGATGAGGAATGTGTACGTTGATATCGTGGCAAAGAATTTCTATCCTGTAAATTACGCAGAAAAATTTACAATTTAATTATCTGAACTGTTACGGTTTTTTTAATTATTATTATTATTATTAAATAAAAGGGTAAATTACAACCACCCCTGGGGGTATGGTTAAATTACGAAAACCCCCATCCTGTTTGGATAATTACAACCACCCCTCAACTATACTATAGATCTTCTTACACGTCCACCCTTGGTGGGTGTCAAATTTAATAAAATCTTCATATGGAATATTCTCAATTTTGTACCAGTTTTATCCCATTTGAGCTTCACATTTTGAAGCAAGATAATCATAAGATATGTTTTTTGGCTTGTATATATCAAATTGTTTGTATATATATCAGATTGAAGTGCATCAGCAACTGCATTTGTGCACAAAACGAGTACAAACTAGAGAACATTCCACGAATCTAAAAGATTATGTTGAATTTGACACCATAAGGATGGACGTGTAAGAAGATTCATAGTTGAGGGTTGGTTGTAATTATCCAAACATGAGGGGCTTCTTCGTAATTTAACCGTACCTCAAGGGGTGCTTGTAATTTACCCTAAATGAAGAAATGTGAAAAAAATATTACCAACTCGGATAATCGCAGTGAACAGTGCCGTTGAGTTGTGCCTGAGCAGCATTCCATTCATCCGACGATTTATAAGGAATATGAGGTGCTGTGTGATGGACCATCGTAAAAGTACTCATCTGCGACAAAATAATCGTATTTTATTTTTTTACTGCAAAATATATATTTATAAAAAAATAAAAAATAAAAAAAACCGTACCCAGAAGTGATAACCTAACCATGGCATTAACCAGAACTTAACCCAACCGAGAATCCCGGTTTGGTAGATAATCAAAGGCCAACCAATTGCCATGAAAGCAAACACAGCAGTCAAGCTTATCTTAACTCTGTTGACTTCATTAGGTCGGAACGTTTTTAAATCGAAGTGACATTTCAACCTATATAATATTTCATAAAATGTCAAAATACGAAGTTTAGAGAAAATTATATATCGCTTGGTTACGGAGAATTACCAATGTGCTATAGACATCCAAGGGCGAAATGGTCCGTATGCGTATATAATTGCCTTTCGGAAAACCGGAGAGGAATCAAACTCCTCTCTGCCGATCGGAAGCCAGGCTGTATCCTCGTCCAACCTTCAAGAAAACATAATTAATAAACTTAATTATATAATTAAAAAAAATGTACTTAAATTAAATAAAAAGGTTTAGAGGAAAGACGATACGAACATATTTGTTTTTGCATGATGCTTGTCGTGCTTAAAACGCCACGGTTCGTAAGGGTATATAAGTGGCAGAAATGCCAGAGTTCCGATTATGTCTTCCACCAATTTATTCTTCGAGAATGATTTGTGCGCACAATCATGTCCTATGACAAAGAACTTCGCGACACGAAGCAAAAATAAATAAAAATAATAAAATCTTATGAATGAAAAAAAAAACCTTTTTGCTGATATTCAACGATAAAAAAACGAGAGCGCAAAAAACTAACCCCCGTAACTGCAGTTCCGGTCCAAGCCCAAGCTAGAGGAAGTAAATACCATGGTGCTTTAGCAATCATGAAGATTCCCAAAGCATACGAAGTTGCGGATATCAACACAGATTTGAAAGCTTTTGCATCGTCAATTTCGAACACCTTTCGCATAAATTTTGACAAGCACAATTATTATTATTTTATTTTATTTATGATCAAAACTAATTCGTTAAAAGGGAAAAACCCCATCACAAAAACAAGAAATCGGCAAATCATTAACACTAACAACATTATTCCAACCACAAGAAAGATCCCGTTTTGCAAGAGAGTGGGAGGCAAAATTAGGTTTCAACCAAGATGAATTAGGATACGACTTGCTAGACAAGATTAATCAAGGTTTGCCAAATGTTTGGACTTTGGAGTTCACGTTTCAATCAAGCCCATTACACATATAAGGTTTGTCAAACAAGGCCTTAATCTAACTTAAAAGTACCTTTTTGGGGAGGGTCTCGGTTATATCTCTCAATGTAACATTATCTGGAAGAGGTTCTCCGATCTGTCGAAAACCATAGTCTTGACATAACTGTTGTCTGTATTCTGCATTGTCTGATGAAGAAGGTGCCACCGATACAGACACAGCTTTCGCGATTCTGCGCTGTCTCAAAGGTGTAAAACATTGCTTCTGTTTGCTTATGCTCCGAGGTAGACTTTCCCACTTCAGAATATTCGTACCTGTTTTACTCATCATTCGTAAACGTGAATATTTTGTATTCGTTGTTTTTATTCAAAGACTATAGTAGAGAGATGCGAGGTATCAACTTGTGATCGGAAATTTCCGTTTTTTAATACTAGAAGCTACTTCAATTAAACATTGTATGCTTCACATGTAGGTAACATTTTCTTCAAAAGGCATTCTTTGTCTTTTAGCCGATTGTTAGTGATCAATTATTCGATATATTAGACGAATCTTTAATTGAAATTAAGGCTGCACAATCCGTTAATTTTAACCTATGACTTTGTTTTAAGTTTATGATGGAACTGAAACAGAGGTTTTGTACAATGATAATAGCATTCAAGGATGAGATGCAGAGAATATTAAAAATTTGAACTTTAACACACCTACACAAACTAATCCCACAATTCATAATTAAAAATTAAAAATTAAATATTAAAATTAAATATTAAATAAAAAAATCAGTACCTGAAGAAGTAGAGCTGTGTGGGAAGATTCTATTGCCCTCATTCGGCCTTTTCTGGGTTCCCTGAATGAATTAAAACCCAAACCAAATTCAATAAAATAGAAAACCCAACTCGTGCGTGTGTGTGTGTGTGTGTGTGTGTGTGTGTGAGAGAGAGAGAGAGAGAGAGAGAGAGAGAGAGAGAGAGAGAGAGAGAGAGAGAGAGAGATGGTTGGATACCAAGAAAAGGAAGGTGGAATGTGGAATCCTGCACGCCATAATTACAGCCCAGAGAGAAATTCAAGAAGAAAACTTTTGATTTTGATGTATTTTCTCTTCAAGAATATTCCCTCACCTCCGGTGGAGCAATGGGCAAGAGACTAGAGAGAGAGAGAGAGAGAGTAGTAGTACTCTTCTGAAGATAAAATTACAGAGCCAGCTTCGCCTAGGAAAGAAAGAGATGGGCCCCTCAATCTCTAACTAATGTCGTGTTTGGAGTTATGACACTTTTTATATAATCACTTTTTTTTTTTTTTCTAATTTTACTAACAACTTACACATGATGCGTACTACTGTCACTGTGTGGATACAATTGATTTGGGACCAAACAACCCCTTCATCACACTTCAATATATTTCCAAATAGATTACGATTTTTTTTTATTTTTTTTTCGATTTAAGTTGATTTTTAAGCTAATTTGCAAACCTCATCAACTTATATAGCACATAGCACTTAATCGCAACTTAACTCAAAATTAATAACTTTTATTTTTAAATAAGCTTTTGCAAACACTCCATACGTATGACAGCTTAATTAGTCGATCGACGCTGATTAGGCTCTCAATTAAAAAAAAAATGTTATCCTAATTACTAAGTAAACATATGAGAGACATTTAACTTATGGTTCACGTAAATTAATCATATACAATTAAGATAAACAACGAAATAAAAAAAAAAAAAAAAAAAAAAAAGAAGAAAAGAAAAAAAGAATCTAATATTCTATCAGTATTTTTATTTTCTTTCTCATATTTTAATTTTAATAAAAATAAAATTTATATATAATGTATAGAAGACGAGCCCAATTAATTAAATTACAGACCAATTTAATTTCACTGAGTCCAATTTTAGTGAGCCCAATAAGATAAGTTACTTGCAATCCTAAGCCGAATGTTAATGAATTATATAGTACCAAGTCTTTCGGCCCAAAACATTTATGAAATTTTATAATTCGTTTTTCAGCCCAAAAAGTCTCGATTTATATTACCTCGTGTAGCCCTAATTCTCAAAATTCATGCATTTAATTTTTTTACATCCAAAATCTGCATAATATATTTTTCTAGAATCACTTGTCGATGTAACGGGGTGCTACATAGTAAAGCAAAAAAAAATGGTCAAGCAATAAAGTCAAAAAAGCTTATTTATATCATATAAATGTAAGGGTAAAAACGTAATTATACTTGCATAAACTACCGGTGTTAGAGATTTGAAGATAGACCGTTAAGTTGATGGGTCACTTTGCCACATCTTATAGCACAAGGAGAAATATGAGACATTGGTAACAATACACGGGTGAATTTGTATTAAACTCTATTTAATATTTGATTTCAGAAAAAGAAATAAATGAAAAATAAAAAGAGGAGAGAGAAAAGGACAACAAGTGTCGGTGGGGGGCAAAAGGGGCAACTTTTGTCGCAATCAAAAAGCAGCGCCATACGTATGAATTTGGCCTCACATGAGACATCCCCTCCTCAGTCAACAGTCACTCCTCATAAAAAAAACAAAAAAAAAAAAAAGTTGCAGTATAATGAATTTTATTACTTATGAATATTGTGACAATTAATCTAAGTGCATTTTAATTATGATAATGAAATATGCGACTATTATTAATTAAAATTGTATGCTCTCTTACGTTACCAACCGACCATGCATGGCCTAGTCTTAGGTTAATTAGTAAATGAATTAATAAATTAAATATGACAATTGGAGTGTTTGTTGAGTTAGATGTTGCGTGCACAATTTGATTAATTATTCATAATTACCACATAACTTTTGTTTATATTTAAACGAAAATGAAAATTCATTGCATGCACT